GTAGCACCTAATTATAAGGCTTCAAATATGGCTATCTTTTTCTTTAATCAGACCATGTGTTCTGAAATGACACAAACCATGACTTGTATTTCTTTAGGATTTACCTCTGTGCTTCCTCACAAGAAGTTCGGCAGGGACAGAGTAGGCTTTTAGGGCAGCATTTTACAGTGTTTCTGAGTACCAAAGGATATTAGGATGTATTATGAGAATAAAAGGGTTACACATTCAAATATATTTTACCCAGAGTTTCCCATACAAAGTTTCAACAGTTTTTTTGTTTTTTAAATTGCCTTTAATATATAAATTTTAAATGTGGGTTTGCAAGAAAGGCCTATCATATGTAACATTTTAATCACTTAATCTGAGGACACTCATGTTTCTTAAAATTTCAGTTAGGGAAATGCTACTTTAGGCTACTCCAGGATTAAAAAAATCTTTGGTTTCCAGTGTTCCACAGTCATAGCAGTATTTGGGTAAAGCAAGAAAAGCACTATGTGTAGTAGCAGAAAGAACCCTAAACTTAATCAGAGGACCTACATTCAAATCCAGCTCAGTCACTAAAGAGATAACACAATCTCAGTACATTATTTGTTTTCTACTTCTTCTGGATAATAAAAATGTCTTCATAGGACAGTTGCAAGGATTAAATAACATAAGTGAAATCATATTGCATTACGAAAATGCAAGGCTTTGAAACAGTTTATACCTTTCCAAAAGGAGAAAAACTGGACAAAGATAGTCTAATTTCTGTTTTCACGTGTATGCATACACAATTTAATGACATCTATTGATTTACCTGGCTTTATTTTTATCTATAGCTCTTTTCATTATCCAACAATACATTATACAGTTATTCATTTCTTTATTGTCTACCCTACAGTAGAATGTATGTTCTATAATGGCAGGTACAGTTCACCACTATATGCCTGGCATAGAACAGGCATTCAAAAAATTTGGTATATCAACAAATAGAAACAATGCTACAAAATTAAGTTAAAATTCCAAGTAAATTTATACCAAAGACAAGTTAGAGCAACCAAATCAGTTTTATTGAATCACCTTCACAATATCCTTTTAAAAACAGCTGACTTGGTATTAGTGGGACCATCCGTACATACTATCAAAGACTAGGCAAATGCTCACCTGTTACACCAGTTTTAGGATAAAGGAACTGGAAGAATTCCTCAGGGATCAGTCCAAAACGAACTTTTCCTCCATATTCAGGAAGAGGTGGTAGAGGGGCACGACTTGGCTGTCCTGTGTGAAAGATCCTTGTTGCCTGCAATACCCTACAGGTAGCAATTGTACAAATTTAAAGCCTATTCTTTAATGAGAATACAATGTATGAAAAATTAGCAGAAACAATGAATGGGAATAAGGATTGAGACAGTTTCCTACTAATTATAATAATGGAAAGATAACGGACTAGGAATAGGAAGGTTAGAGTCCAATAATTAACTGTGACAGGGCAATGACTTAATCACAGGCACTTAAGTCTGTATGTAACCTTCTACCCAATACTGAAATCCCTTCTATAAGGCTCATAGATCTCTCTAGTACTTTGTGTGTCTATTATTATTGAAATAGAGAAAAACATGGACTCTGCAGCCAGTGGTATCAACCAAAAATGTCTCCAGACGTTGCCAAAAGTCCCCTAGATGGCAAAATTGCCCCAGATTGAGAATCACTGATTTAAATGACAGCTCTAGACAACCCATTTTAGGCTGATGCAAATCTCCCCAATTGGTTATCTTAGTTCAAGTCCTCATCTCTTGCTTAAAATACTTTAACAATTTGAAACCTAGTCTCTCTGCTTCTTTTCTCACATTACTGCCAATGTTTATAAAATGAAAATTTGACTTCTCTCCCACCTAAAGAAAACAAACTACTTAATATAGCATACACAGTCTAGTACCTGTCAAATTTTATAACCTCATCTCCCTTCATTCTCCTACCCTTCTGCCATATTGAACTACTTACAACTCTCAAAAACAAACAAACAAAAAAAACAAAAACAAAAACTTGCCTTATGTTGCTCCTTCTGCCTGGTATGCCCTTCATACCATGACTTCATGCCAATGACTGCCAAGCCCAAGCAGCCCTCAGAACAACTCAAGCACATTCTTTATAAAGGTCTCCCCAATCTTGGGCTAACAATCATTCATTTAATCAACAAAACATCTACTGACTTTCTACTTAGGCAAGGCACTGGGAACTTAGCAATGAACAAAGTCCCAGCCTTTGACATCAAGTGTGGATGTGGGAAGTATGGATATGTATACAATTTCAGGCAGTTGCTGTGCTATAAAGAAAAATGGAGTGGGCCGGCCCGGTGGCGCACTGGATAAGTGTGCCGCTTGGGAAGTGCGGCGGCGCTCCCGCCCGAGGGTTCGGATCCCACATGCAGACCGGTTCCCGCTCACTGGCTGAGCGAGGCGCGGGGGCAACGCCGGGGGTTGCAGTCCCGTTGCCGGTCCCCGGTCCGGTACGGGGGCAACACTGAGGGGTGTGATCCGTTGCCGGACACGGAAAAAGACAAAAGACAAAAAAAAAAAAAAGAAAAGAAAAATGGAGCAAGGTAAGGGGATAGGGAGGAATGGAGGGGGGAAAGGCTTTTTTGGTAGGAGGCGGCGCTCCCGCCCGAGGGTTCGGATCCCACATGCAGACCGGTTCCCGCTCACTGGCTGAGCGAGGCGCGGGGGCAACGCCGGGGGTTGCAGTCCCGTTGCCGGTCCCCGGTCCGGTACGGGGGCAACACTGAGGGGTGTGATCCGTTGCCGGACACGGAAAAAGACAAAAGACAAAAAAAAAAAAAAGAAAAGAAAAATGGAGCAAGGTAAGGGGATAGGGAGGAATGGAGTGGGGAAAGGCTTTTTTGGTAGGAGGTTAGATGACATTTGAGTCAATGACCAGGGGAAAAGTGAGAAGAGCAAGCAGAAAGATCCTGAGGCAAGAATGAGCTTGGGAGTTTTCAGAGGAACAGCAAGTCCAATATAGTTGGAGAATGAGCTAAAAAGAGATCAGAAGGAGATGGAATCAAGAAGTAGGATGGGATCAATTCATGGTGGGCCTCTGGGTTATGCTAAGATTGGATTTAATTTGAAGTGGGATGAAGAACTTTGGAAGATTTCAGGTGGGGGATTGACATAATCCCTCTGACTACTGTGAGAATGGGCTAAAACGGGACAAGAATAGAGATGCAAGGAGAATAGTTAAGAGACTACTGAAATAGCCTAGGTGAAAGTTGATGGTGGTTCATATATCAGCAGTAGTGGGAGTGGAAGAAGTGGTCAGAGTCTAGATATTATCTGGAAGAAAAGCCTTGCTGATGTACTAGATACAGAGTGTAAAAGAAAATCAAAGATATTCTTTGTATCTTGTATTTATAGTTATTTTATTTATTATCTGTATTACTATTATTTGTTTACATGTATGGAGTCCTTTTTCTCTGATAAGTTAGAAGCAGTCAATTATAGCCTCACTTTATTGCATACAGAAGACTTAATTACAGATATATTAAACTCACTTTTTCAAGCCACAGGTTACCAAACTTTGCAAGCTTTAAGACTCAGTTTGGAAGCAATAAGAGAAATTTCAAAGAAAACTGACATGTTTTATGAAATAATTTTAATAGTAATAGCTGCTAACATTTACTAAGCACACTCTACGTATCAAGCACTGTTTTTAGCGTTTCACAAGAATTAAGCCTCTTAATTCTCATAACCTGTAATGTACAATTATCTCCATTTTGCGGATGAGGGAATTGAAGTCACAGAGCTAGTAAGTGTAGCCAGGTACACCCTGTTCTAAGCTTTAGAGCCCTCACTCTAACCCATTACTCTATAGCTGCTTCTCCTCCTGGACTTTGTGAGCTCCATGAAGGCAGGTACTTAGCCTTACTCATTTTTGTATTCTTGGTTATGTGGGTGTCAAGATAAACATTTACTGAATCAGTGAATAATTTCTCTAACTCATAGTCTGGCAGTAAAAACTAGGAATCTGGGGCTGAAAACAACATGGCTTCACTGTTTTACCTGACAAAATTTGTTCCTGGGTACGTAATCTAGTAACTCAGATTGGGCTGTTTAGCTGAAGGTCATAGGGAAAGGGGTGGGGCCTAGAAGACACCAAACCCAGTGTCTAGTTAGAACACATTATTTATCCTCTTAAAGTCTTTGTCATCAGGTGATATGAGGACGCCCCAGGCAGTTACAGGAACAAGTGTGTGAATAAGACCTTAAGCGTCCAAAATTACCTGAAGAACGTAATTTCTGGCTTAAAGCTAAGAGGAGGAAACCAAGAAATGAGACGAGGTGATAAAACAAGGACAAAGGGGAGTATTATACTCCTCATGCTTACCCTGGACCTAGAAGGGCTGCGTTCTTCAAAGACGGCGCTGCAGATACACAAGGCGCGGGTCAGCAAAGTCAAGGTGAAATCTAGTGTGCCCCTTCCTCGGTCCCCGCGAGGCCTGATCACTAAAGCCATGCACCCCTCTTTGCCGTCCCCCCGAGGCCCCGCTCCCTTCTGAGCGGCGCTGATCAATCCCCAGTCGGGCCCAAAGACTTGCTGCGCCTTTCTTCACTCCCTTTCGCCGCCCCCCGCCCCGTGACCTCCTAGACTCGCTTCTTTCCAATCACGCTGATAGCTCAGACCAGGGTCAACACTCCTCACCCACTGTGGCGGCGGCAGAAAGAACCACCCGGGATAGCATGGTCAGAGAAGGTCCAGGTAGCGGACTCAAAAGTCTCTGTGACCCCAACCGGAGAACCTGTCAGGGCAGTAGCAAGATGGCCGCTCACAAGGCTCGCGAGAAGAGAACATCGTGCCCTCTTTTCCTTCAACTATCGTCTGGAGATTTTTTTTCTCGCGAGAAGAGACATAGAGCTCTGAGAACTTGTTGCCGGGGGGCGGCAGCTGCCAACTGGGATGAAAGCGTAGAAGCAATTCTCGCGAGAAATATAGTTGCTGTCTCCTCCGGAGAGGGGCAGAGGCTCTGAGGTGCACCACGTGGGGATTGTCGCCGGAGCTGAATCTCGGGCCGGCGTCCGCTTTGGGTCTAGGTTGGAGTTGGAACCGTGGAGATGCGGAAGGAAATCCCGACCCCCCTTGTACCCCTGGCGGCTCGCGAGTGGAACCTTCCCCCCAGTGCGCCCGCCTGTATGGAACGGCAGTTGGAGGCTGCGCGGTATCGGTCTGGTGAGTCGAGATCCCCGGCCTGGGAGCTCCCTCACCCCAGTCCGGGGCGCCCCTCCCCGGGACTGACCCTTTGATCCACCCTCGCCTCGCATGCCATCTGCCGCCTACCTCGCGTTGCTGACCTGTCCCCAATCCTGCCCCGGGTTCCTGAGCTCAGAACCAGACTCGGCCCGGTGCTGGACGGTGCGGTCACCATGGAGACGAGCCCTTCCACCCCTCACGCGCTGACAGCTCGTACTCCCCGTAGATGGGGCGCTTCTGCTCGGGGCCTCCAGCCTGAGTGGTCGCTGCTGGGCCGGCTCCCTATGGCTTTTCAAGGACCCTTGTGCCGCCCCCAACGAAGGCTTCTGCTCCGCCGGAGTCCAGACGGAGGCCGGAGTAGCTGACCTCACTTGGGTGGGCGACAGAGGTATCCTAGTGGCTTCGGATTCAGGTGAGTCGCTTTCCTTTCCCCTCATACTCCTGGGTGGAATGGAGGCTTGGGGTACAGGTCAGTCCTTAATGTCTCATAGTCAGTGCTAAGATGATGCTGAGGCCAATCTGAGCTACCTTTTTCCATTTTTTCGTTTTCTTCTTAAATTAAATGCCTTCATTCTGCTTTCTTTGTTTTGAATGTCAGACTCAGCAGTGGAGACTTTGGTATTAAAAACAAAAATAAGAATTAGAGGCTGGCCAGTTAGCTTAGTTGATTAGAGCATAGCCTTGTAACACCAAGGTCAAGAGTTGGGTTCTCTTTACCGGCCAGCTGGCTCCCCCGCCTCCCCCCCAAAAACGAAATTGGCAGTCATTGCATGGAAGTTTAAAAGTGAGATGTTATGGGCCGGCCCGTGGCTCACTTGGGAGAGTGTGGTGCTGATAACACCAAGGCCACGGGTTCGGATCCCATATAGGGATGGCCGGTTAGATCACTGGGTGAGCGTGGTGCTGACAACACCAAGTCAAGGGTGAAGATCCCCTTACCGGTCATCTTTTAAAAAAAAAAATTAATAAAAGTGGGGTGTTAAAGACTGAGACACTGACACTTGAGCTTGAACACTACATATTAAAGACAACTTTTGGGGGGTTTCTGTACTTAGCCAGTCACTGTGTAAGACATTCAGTTATTCAACATATTTAAGACTCTGGAAGACATTTATTCACGTAGTTCAGCAAATGTTTATTAGTGCCCGAATAATTAGGAAGGGCTAATATCCCTGGGCTGTATGCTGTTTAGACAGTTGTGGAGACTTCATCCTTGTCCCATGTGAATTGATTTTCCAGTGTTCTCTCACTGGAAGCAGAATAATGGCATTTACAGGCCGTTCCAACTTTCCCTGTCTTGTGCTAGGAGCTTTCCCCACTTAGTTGTCTGGGCTGTTATTAGCAAACAAGTAATGCAGCATAAAACCAAATGGTTTGAAAGTTAGCTAAATCCTCTAATGATGTGGACTTTGCTATTACAGGAATAAATTGTTTTGTTAGTTTAGTGACAGTGACTACTTGAGTCCCAGTGGTGAGTTACTGTCTTGGTAAAATCCAAGTTCATGTTTGCCTTATCGCCCCACCCCCACCTCACCCTACCCTACCCTGCCCTGAACAGGTGCTGTTGAATTGTGGGAGCTGGATGAAAATGAGACACTTATTGTCAGCAAGTTCTGCAAGTATGAACATGATGACATCGTGTCTACAGTCAGTGTCCTGAGCTCTGGAACACAAGCTGTCAGTGGTAGCAAAGACTTCTGGTGGGTCCTTGTTATCATCATTCCTGCTGTTAGGCCTCCTTTGGGTATCATTACTATCCTGTTAACCTCTAGGCCCATTATAACATCCCAGTGAATAATTATAGCATGTCTATAAGATTTCCGTAGAGATTTTGCAATCCATTTTAAATAGATCATAGCAGGAGTCCAGGAGGCGAAGACATGGGACATACTGGTTAAAAGAAGTTCTTGTTTCAACATGTTTTTATGTTGATAGTGTAGTTAAGTGTCTGTTAAGGTTGTCTGTTTCCTTTTGCTTCTTAGCATCAAGGTTTGGGACCTTGCTCAGCAGATGGTGCTGAATTCATATCGAGGTGAGTATTCTTTCCTTTTCAGTCTTGGCCTTAGCTCATTTGTTTTTATTCTCCCCTTTGGGCTCTTCAAACTTTGCTTGGGTATTAGGAGCAGCAGTTCCATGTTCTCCTGCTTGATACTTTCTTTCCAAAACTGTAGTTAGGCTCTAATATCTACCCCTTGTTTTTTTTCTCTCAATCTCCATATCTCTACTGATGGCTTTGCCATGTTCTCAGCTACAGAGGGCTCAAACTCTTCACTTCTCTTTCACTCTTTCTGCTTTCCCACTGTTAGTTGGTCTCCAAGTTCTTCTGAGTCTTTTTCCATTTGGTTGATCAGCTTCCTATCTGTTTTTTACGCCCCCATTTACTTTCATGCTTCACCTATCTCACATGACGTTGACTTTCATCTCTTCACTTATAAACACACATAATAGCTATTAATTACCTTCCCCCTGAGGAGCAAAAATGTACCGTCAATGCCATAGCAAGTAATACTGCATGCTGTTATACTAAGATATTAATAAATCTAGACTGGGCCAGACTTTCCTGATGCCAGAGACGAGAAGCAGATTGAGGAAGGACCCTATATGGGCCACAGAAGTGACCCGCACAGAGAGAAGAAACTTTTGTCTTGATGTGTGGGTTCTTGGGAGAGACAAAGGTCATACATCTTAGATCTGAATCTGGAAAGATCAAGGCACTGAAATGATTTCTTTCTTTTTTTTTTTTATTCCTTTTTGTCTTTTTTACTGACCGGTAACAGGATCACAACCCTCGGTGTTGCACCTGCACCACGCTCAGCCAGTGAGCGGGAACCGGTCTCCACATGGGATCCGAACCCTCGGCGGGAGCACCGCCGCACTCCCAAGCGGCGCACTCTCCAGTGCGCCACCGGGCCGGCCCCACTTATAAGTTTTGACTCTTTAGGTCATTCATTGGTTTCTTATGGCCTGCAGATTAAAATCCCATTTTCTTATGGTATTCAAGCCCTTTTACTGTCATTACTCATTCAAGCATATGTGCTAATTTAATCCAATTACATTAGGTCCTTGACATTCTCGGGGGATAAATATTGAATATTAGCAGTTAACTTTATTTTGGGAGCCATTCTTCATGGAGGTAATGTCTAGAGCCCTAATGGATGTGTGGATATGAAATTTAGATGCTGGGTGATCGCTGTGGTTCTCTTAATGGCTAAATGCCTTTCTTGCCATTTCTAACTTCAAAGTGCATGTTTTAATTATGTGCCAGAGCAAAATAACTCATACATATCCTTAACCTTCAGGGTCACTTGCACATAGTCCAACAATAATGTCAAAATGCCAGTGCCTGAAGTCTATTACACTTGCCTTTTATTTCTTAGACATAAAATGTGCTTTCCTGGCTAACTCTTCAGCACTTCTCTCTTTCAGCCTTTTTCCTTAGTTCTTTGTGTTTGTGTCTTATTTCCCTCACTGAATTTGAAATCCTTTGAAGGTAGAGGAACCATGTATTCTTCATCTTTTGTATACCACCATGGTGCTTGTCCCAGAATTTTGCTTTTTTCAGCTAAGCATTAAATTCCTTTTCTGACTTATCATCCTGTTGGCTTTCTATGGATTCTTGGGCTAGGAAAGAACTGTGGAAGGCCGTTTAATCCTATCCTTCTGCCTCAGGGCAGGGCTACATTCATACTAGCGGAAAGCCTACTAAAATGACTTTAGAGAAGATGGGTTCCACAGCCTCTAATTAAATGTAGCAATGATCTTCAAAATGTTTTACATATAGATCTTTTAAAAGCATTTTGATGGTAATGCCAAGGTCATGGGTTCAGATCCCCATACCAGCTAGCTGCCAAAACAAAACAAAAAAAACCAAAAAAGTATTTTGAAAAAACTGTACCTCTCATATATTCTTAAATTGATATCTAAAAGATTTTACATTTAAGTAGTTGAACGGGAGGTAATTTCTGGCATATCATTTATTATACAGTTATTTCAAGTATATGTTTGTCAAGATTTTGGATTTGCAGATTAAGCCCATTTAATTTATGCAAAATGTCTACCAAACACCCTAACTGGTAAAAATCAATTTGCATTGTTAAGCAAGTTGGCTGAATTAGACTTAACTTTCTGTCGGAAAAAGTCTGACTTTATTTTTAAATTCAGATAAACTTGTTAGATGTGTCCTGACGACACCGTCTATCATATTTTTCAGTTCTCATTATTAGACAGAAACAGAGATAAATCACACACTTATGTTTGTGGTATGACTGAAATAGGGTCAGTCCTCTTCACTGAATTTTACACAGATGCTCTTTTGCTCTTTGGCTCTTATAGGAAAAGCCCCTTTCCCCTTAATTTGGAACCCTCAGATTTTTACACCCTTGAGAATTGTATTATGGAAAGATTTGGTATGGGTGAGAGGTATGTATGTGTTCCCTCTATAACATGGGAGAAGAGTGATTGTGAAAGTAGAGGCAGGTCAACATCAGTAACCAGAACTTCCTTGCAAGTTTCTGTATGCTGCTTGGAGGTATGTGTACTCCATTATGAAAACTGCTGTTCTAGAACTATTTAGCCCCTATATCTGGAATGTCTTAATTGTAAATTCCTTCACTATTCTTACTAAGCCCCTAATTTCTCCTTTATTGTCTTTACTAGTTCTTTTTTTCTGAAGCCTTTTCAGGTTTTATAACTCCATCAGCCTTTCTTCTTAGGTTTTGTCTAATCCATAGTTTCAGACAAAATTTATTAAATTGCATCACGAGACTAGGCCTGTTTTTCACACTCTCCTTCCTGTCCGTTGATTATATCTGGGCTTGCCTTCGTGTATGGCCTTCAGCTTCTTCTCTGTGACATTTCTCTTCCTCTCTTTACAGCTCATGCTGGGCAGGTCACCTGTGTTGCTGCCTCTCCCTACCAGGACTACATGTTTCTTTCATGTGGTGAGGTGAGATACAGCCTCTTCTCCTTCCCTAACCACACCTTGACCCTCTGTAGGCCATAGCCTCTGGTATGGAGAACTTCTGGCCAGCAGCTCCTCTTTTGGATTGTGAAATCCTTTTTCTGATCCTCCTTCTTTTAGGACAGTAGAATTTTACTCTGGGATACGCGCTGTCCCAAGCCAGCATCACAGATGGGTGAGTCTGAGAGCCAGTGGTGGGAGGGTGGTACTGGGAATCCACCTGGAAAAGGCTTTCTTTGTCCAGAGTCAAAGCAAAGTTGCCAGATTACCAGTCACTAGGCATAAATGACATAATGTCCTTCCCACCGAGGCTCTGCTAACCCTATTCTGTGCAATGAGTACCAAGAGAAAGGTCTGGTTCACGGGTGGGTGATTCACTTTGTTAGATGGGTGGACAGAGGGGCCAGAATTATCTTCATGCCTGAAGTGCTTGAAACTTGCTGTAATTTGTGTTCAGAAATGGTAGGAGGCTGATGATAAATAAATGTATGTTGTGAGGGTAAAGGATAAGGACACTATTGCCTTAGTAGGGCTTGGGAAACCCTGATTGAGAGTAATTTCATTTGAGAAACTGCTTCTTCTGGGCTCTGACTGTTGTTCTAGACCCCTCTTCTCTCCTTTGCAGGCTGCAGTGCTTCTGGCTACCTTTCTACCTCACTGGCTTGGCATCCTCAGCAAAGTGAAGTCTTTGTCTTTGGTAAGGCAGCATGTCAAACTGCATATTGACTCTGGGAAGGGGGAGGATGAGAAAGAAAGAGCTAGCACTGTAGTGCACAAGGCTCTTCTTGCTCAGTTTCATCAGCACCTTTGGGAACTAAATGAATTATCCTAATGAGGGCTGGGGAGATGGGATGATCCAAAAGTAGTCTTAGTTTAGCTTTAGAGAACATAATGATTTTTTCCCCAGTGGATTTGATTCTTGATTGTTTGTTCGGGCTCCTGTATTCTGGGCATGGCTAGAAGTCAGTGAGCCACAAAGCAAGGTGATTGCTCTATAGGGAATTCTGTTCAACTGTGGGTAGGTGTGGCACTGTCAAGGCAATGAGGCCGTGCGTGTGGTGATATAGTTTGTGATTAAAATAATAACTACTTCATCTGTTAATTTTCACAACCACCCAATGACTTATTGTTCCTACTTTATAAAAGAAGAAACTGGTGCGCAGAATCGTTAATTTGTCCAAGCCTGAAGAACTAGGATTCAAATCCAGGTCTGGTTGACCCCAAAGCGCATGCTCTTAACCACCGTGACATGCTTCCTCTCTTTTCTGTAGGTGATGAAAATGGTACTGTCTCCCTTGTGGACACTAAGAATGCAAGCTGTGCCCTCAGCTCAGCTGTACACTCCCAGTGTGTCACTGGGCTGGTATTCTCCCCACACAGGTACTATTCATTGTCATCAGGGGTTTGGTGGATGTGAATGGGAACAGTGAGGGAGGATGTGTATGTTGGCAAAGCATTACCTGATTACGTAGCTCCTTAAAGCAGACAGTGCTTTAGCTGAGGTTTCAGAATGTCAGAGATCTCTTAAGACTATAGTGCTTTCTTGGGTTGTACAGTCTCTGACTGAAAATGGCTGAAATGTGGTTTCATTCCTGCATAACACCCAAAATGATTAATATTGTGGGGTTGGAAGAGCCTGTGTTTCTGAGTTATTGCTGAAGCTCTAGAGAGGGACCAGATGGGGTGGTTAGTTGCCAGGATGATTGTCAATCCTGGCTTTGCTCCATTTTTCTCATCTTTCTTTGGGACTTGAAATGTGGACTTGAGTGGTAGCCATACCTTAACCAAAAGTGAGAAATAGGCTGCTTTCTCCTCTGGGTCAATTTCCAGTGGGAGTGAGGCCAGTCCTGTCAAGGTTTTGTCTTGGGATCCATGGGCTTTACCTTTTGCATACTATTCCCTTTCTTAGCGTTCCCTTCCTGGCTTCTCTCAGTGAAGACTGCTCACTTGCTGTGCTGGACTCCAGCCTTTCCGAGGTGTAAGTGTGAAGTGGAATCCTGTGATCAGGAATCAGGGATGGGGAGCAGTGGTGGGTGGGTGGCTGGGCCCTTTTTCTCTCCAGAAAATGGCATTCATTGTCTCTTTGGAAGGAGAATTCTCCATCTGTATCTGAGGGGACTGGGTGATGGAAGCAGGCAGATCTTTACTGTTTGCCTGTTCCTGGGGCTGATACACACCAGCTACAACCCTGGTAGAGGAGGAACACGGGTAGGGGATGGGATTTCTAAGTCTAGCATTCCAGCCCTCTCCCACAAGGGGGCAGTCTACCCTTTTCACATAAAGAACAGTGTATATGAAATGCAGTCTGCTATAGGGCAAAAGGCACCAGACAGGAGATCTGAATTGTGCTCTCTTTGCCACGATTTGCTGCCTGACCCTGACCAACATCACTACCTCACTCTATCCACCATTTCTTCATCCATGAAAATAGAGGACAGGATTGGATTATTGATGACATCCACTGTGGATAGCTATACTGCTGTCTTGGTGATGAGGCCATATAGATGGTGTAATGTGTGTAACACACCAAAAAACGTGCCCTGGATGTGCAAGTTCTCGTTCTTCTGCAGGTCTGCTTTTTTTTCTTGTCTCTACTATGCCCAAACTTTGCTTTTTTCTCTCTCTCATAGGTTTAGAAGCCGAGCCCACAGAGACTTTGTGAGAGATGCCACTTGGTCCCCACTCAATCACTCCCTTCTTACCACAGTGGGCTGGGACCATCAGGTCATTCACCATATGGTGGCCGCAGAACCTCTTCCAGCCCCAGGACCTGAGAGTGTTGCCGAGTAGACTGGATTTAAGACAAAGCAAATCTCCCATGAGTATTCACTCCTTGCTCCTACCTCCTCAGTCTGTGAGACAACACAGGAACCTTATATAGTATGTTGATATACTAGATCCGTGCACTTAGCAGGTATTGTCTCTCAGCCTGAAGAAGGCTATATTCTGGGATCCTGTAGTCAGAGGGAGGAAAAATTTTCATGAAAATGGGTATGTATGTGTGTCTGAATGTATGAGTGTGTGCACAGACCTATAATTTTTGGTGATGGGGGGAATAAAAAAAATCCATCTCACATCTTCTCCAAATACCACCCCCTCGCCACCAAAAGTTGACAGAAGGGTTTTATGCTTTCCATATAGCTGTCTGTGAGGAATTGGCTGTGTCTGGGATGTAGGCATCCCTGGATTCTTGGAAGCACCTTTTATGCTACTCATAGAGATAGGAGCAACTTTATTTTTTTATAGAGTGTAATTAACCATTATCATGGGAAATATTTCCCTTTGTAAAAACGCAACTCAGCTCACTTTGAGAAAGAGGCAGGACACATTCAACACAGTTTTACACAACTCCTTGTCATTAAACTGAATCAGAAACCCATTTTCTGGCTGAGGAAAAGATTTGACTGGTGCCTGTATAATGCCTTCTCCCTTCTCCCTTCTCCCGATTCCCCACTGGTGTTGTGTATGTGAGAGATGAGTGTTTTTCTGTCCTAGGTACCACAGAGAAAAGTTTGGAGATGATACAGAGCTTAAAGTCATTTAGTTAAGTTAGAAAACTGACACAGACTGTTACAGAGAAATCTTTGCCACTTTCCCCACCCAGAAACAGCTTGGGGCCTGACCTCTCCTGCATCTGGGCCCCTTTTTCTGGATATAGGAAGTGTGACTGCAGTATTTGCAGACTGCTACGGTTTTTAAATCCAGCATCAGGAAGAGAATCAGAAATACTGGTTGGTGAAATAAAGAGTTTAGGTATTGTTGACCTGTCTTTTTTGATGCATGTGTGTTATGTGCAGTTGGACATACACTTTTGTTTCACTTAAGTGAGTCATCAGGGTGTTGGTATTATAGCCCATTGTTTTTCCTGTGCTTTCCCAGCCTCCCAAAGTAGCTAGCTGGAACTTAAGGCATTTATTTATACATTGGGTAGGTAGAGTGGTGGTTACTGCCAGTTAGAAATCATAAATCAATTCGTATTGAAACTAAATACAATCAGTTATGTGTTTTTGAGCTTTGCAAATTTAATTTAGGTAAAGTCACATTATGAAACTGGGGCACTTTGAAGGAATATGGGCAAAATGTTCTAAGTAAAGCTTCCATGCTTCACCCTTGCCAAGCATGAACTCTGTGTTCTCATGATTACCTTTAAAAACGTGGGAATTTGTAGTCATGTAATCTCCCGGGTTGTGGTGGGGTGGGAATAAAAGTCTTCCATTCTTAATTATAACTTCTTGAGAAAGAATAGGATGGGTAGGTATAATCACTTAATTTCTCCTTCCCAGAAGTAAAGCTTAAATTTTGTTGTCACTTAGAGAAAGTAAGGCTGGGCATGAGGTGGATAGGAATTAAATTTGCATATCCCTTTTCCTCATGGAATTAAGAATGGTGGTGAAAAAACTCAGAGAAAGAGATGAGAATCCTAGGAAATATGTGTCTCAGGGTGGTTAAAATAACATCAAAAAGGAAAGCATAGTTTTTGAAGTACCACGTTATCTTGCAAAAAATACTAGTTTGGGTGCAGATAGATCTGTGCCAACAAGAATAATTCACGTCTATTAATAATTGCCACCAGGATATTTGTAAACCTAATCAAAATCACAGTAGGAATGATTAGCACAATTTTGTATGAATTTATGTTATAGTGAGCAAAGAAGATAGTAGAAGGTGACCTCAAAATAGAAATGTAATATCACATGGGGTGATTTGCTAGGTCCTTGACTTGAGAATAGTTCCAGTAGAGTGAGCATGAACTTACTGATGACAGGTAGAAATGAGACCATTTTTTTTTTTTTAAAAAAGATGACCGGTAAGGGGATCTTAATCCTTGACTTGGTGTTGTCAGCACCACGCTCAGCCAGTGAGCTAACCGGCCATCCCTATATAGGATCCGAACCCGTGGCCTTGGTGTTATCAGTACCGCACTCTACCGAGTGAGCCACGGGCCGGCCTGACCATTTTTTGTTTGTTTAAAAACATGCAAACTTTCTGCATTTAATTTCACTGGTTAACACTGGAGTAAATCCATTTCCCTATCTTCATTATTCTTACTCTGAAATCCACTAACTCGACCCTCTGTATTTCACTTCTGACCTCTGGTCCACCAAGGTCAAGGAGGCTCACCCCTTGCGTATTGCTCAGAGCCACGAGGAACGCTGAAGAAGGCTTATGTACATTTTCAGGTGGCATCAGACTTTGGGCTGATTCCCAAGGTATTTCTCTTGCCTTACATGACAGTTTGGAGACTGGTTCCTTAATAAATACCTCTACAGGCATTACCTACTGGTTCACAATCACATTATAGCAGCAAAAACACCCAAGCTATAACTGCTCTGGGCCTCCAGCCATGTTTCTTCTGGGCAGCATGTTAGGACGGGCAAGAGATGGGGTGCGGGGGTGGGGGAGTTTCCCTATATTTTATTTTTAAAATGAGTTTCAACATCAGAGGGCTCTAAAACTTTATTGCCACATCTACACCTGAGAGTAAAGGGCTCCGATTTTTAAAAAGCAGATTCTTGTTGCATTTGGACAGCATGAGTAATGTCTCTCATATTTTCTTTGTATTTCAGTAGTTGTTTGTGTCTACAAATAAATGAGTATAGAGAAAGGATGAATTCCAAAATATACATTCACAAGCATTTCCTTAAGACATACACTAAGTGCTTTTATGTGTTCTGGGAAGCTTTAGAGCATCTAAGAAAGCAATATAGGTAGAAGAAGCTGAGAGAATTCATATCCAGTCATCGTTTGTAGCAAGCTTCTTATTACCAATCTGGGTCACCACACAACCCATCATTAAAATCACTTGTGCACCAACTTGATTTTATTTAGAAAAAGGGTAAGCAAGCTCTAGTCTCAATTTTGAGTGAATTAAAATTGCTCTCAAGAGCTTCAACGGACTAAATAATACAGTTTCAGAAAAGTAAACAAGGTAAGCAGATGATTATTGGACCGAAAACACGTCTTGTTAAGTTCTCTATCAAAAATAGGCAATGATGAAGTTTTTCATCTTCATTACATGACCACAGGATTAGTGCAAGCCAGAGGTACTGAGGAAGGTGTGAGCATCTGGAAAGGAAGGGTTAACTTCTGATTTAAGTTGTAGAAACATAATCTGTGATCCTACAATCTTTTATCATCTGGTGTAATGTTTAATGTAGTCCTCTATTTACTGTGGAAAATCCTTGTCTCATAAATGTTCTGTAGCTTCAGTATAAAATGAATGGATTATCAAAATTCAAAAGATGAGTAAATAAAAGAGTTTAATCCCCAAACAACACCTAAAATTCTGATGGAAACCCAGCCACCAGAATGTCATTTGTTGAAGGTTCCTTCAGTAAATATACATATACAGTATTTCATGTGTCTCTGTGATGATGGGGTACCAGATTCTGGTCAAGCATTTCACTTTGAGAGGCACCATGTTATAAGTAGTAGGAATTTCAGTTTCAAACTGAAATTTTCCATTCTGGTAGTAACTCATCTGGGGTCTCAGCTAACTAATGAAGATTGTTTGGATCAGAAAATGCACTTTACATGTGTAAGCTAAATTAGCTTCAGGTTCTACAATCTCTGCAATTTGTTTCTCACAGAAACCCTTTGAATAGAGTTAGGACGTATGTATGGCTGATGTATGGGACCCATTAAGACCAACTTCAATTTGTTTGGGAGTTAGCATTAAAGCTATCTTTAACCTAGACACCTGGAGGCTGGTGAGACAGGCTCTGTGTCTACCACCATCCTGTACCTGTGGTGGCAGACTCCTTGCTTCAGGACCAACTTGGGCTTCATTTGACTTTGTTTTTAAGTTGTTTTTTAAAAAATAATTGTAAATATACATATCATAAAATTTACCATTTTAACCATTTTTAAGTGTACAATTCAGTAACATTAAGTTTATTCACATTTGTTGTGCAACCATCATCACCATCCGTCTCCAAAACTTATCATCTCAAACTGAACCTCTGTACTCGTTAGATAGTACCCCTCCCTTTCTCCCAGACTCTGGCAATCACCATTTTACTTCTGTCTCTATAAATCCGACTATTCTAAGTACCTCATATAAGTGGGATCATACAGTATTTGCCCTTTCGTGTCTGGCTTATCATTTGCTTTTTTAAAGTGTTGACTTGTTCCTCAAAATGTGGCCTATAGACCAGCAACATTGGTAAAATCTGGAACTTGTTAGAAGTACAGAATGTCCAAACATAGTAATTCAGAATTTACATTTTCAAAAGCTTCCCAGTTGACTCATGCATATCAAAGTTTGAGAAGCACTGACTTAGATTACCTATTGAAAACTCCAGGGCCGGCCCGTGGCTCACTCGGGAGAGTGCGGTGCTGATAACACCAAGGCCATGGGTTCGGATCCCATATAGGGATGGCTGGTTGGCTCTCATGGGAGAGCATGGTGCTGACAACACCAAGTCAAGGGTTAAGATCCCCTTACCGGTCATCTTTTAAAAAAAAAAAGAAAGAAAGAAAACTCCAGATGGGTTGGAAACCAGGCAGAGAAATCATCAGTCATTTAATAATGAGCAACTATGGTGTATCAGAAGCTGTCAGACATTGCAGGGTTTGGTAGTTCTCAAGACAGATATGGTTATCCTGCCTTCAGCAGCTTAGTCAAGAGAGAAAAGGAGAAACAGAGAGAGAGGGAGGAAGGAATTAGTGTTTAGGTGCTAGACAAAAGAAATAAAGATTAGTAGAAAATGGGATCATAACCCAGTCATGATGGAGTGATAAATCTTCCCTGAAGAAATGACATTTAGATTTTTTAAAATTTATTTTTAATGTTTTTATTTTAAAATATTTAATTGACAAAGATTGTATATATCCAAGGTGTGCAATGTGATAATTTGATATACATATATGTGTGTAATGATTATCACAATCAGATTAATACATCCATGACTATCCCTGCTACACATCAGACCCCCGGAATTTGTTCATCCTGTAACTGAAAGTTTATACCTTTTGAGGAACATCTCCGCATTCCCCCCCATCACCCAGTTCCTGGCAACAACTATTCTACTCTCTGTTTTTGAGTTCAACTTTTTTAGATTCCACATAT